CTCCCTGGGCATCTTCTCCAGATATGGCTCAGACCTTATCACATGGACACATGCATTTCTTCTGCCTTAAAGAGTCAGGGACTTCCTGCCACATCCACTCAACACTGTGTTGAGTGCTACTGAGAAGATGGAGACCTTGACAAAGTGATCCTGACCTGGTAATTAGTTAAAATACTCAGGGAGTGAAAACAAAATCTATCCACTGAAGCCATTTTGAGAACAAAACCAGTCCATTCATAATAAGATTCATTCCTCACTTTAAAAGCTCAAAGGTATGTTAAGAGGTAGAGATCAGAATAAGAAAACCCCATGGATGACAAGGACACAATACACAAGGAAGGTGTTCAATAGTGTTAATTAAGTGAATTAAGAAACTTGAAATGAGCCTTGAAGGATGAAAAGCATTTGAAATGGGAGGAGAAGGAGCAAGTAACCCTAAATGGGGAAGTCATATAGCACAGTCGTTTAAGTATTGACCACGAAGGAGCAGGCTGACCTGGGTATGCCATTCACCAGTTGTGTGATCCTGAGCAAGTTGAGTAAACTTCCTAAGTTTTACTTTCCTCTTCCATAATAAATGAGTTCTAAGTGATTTTATTTGAGGGGGCGGGTGGAGGGGAGATTGAAAAGATACAGGCTGAGCTCTTAGCACAATGCAAGACATATAGTAACTGTTCAAACAATGTTTGTTTATTGTTGTTGCTGTTGATGAAAACATGATCAAAGGCAGGAATTAGTGTCTGTCCTGGGGAAAATCTTTTTTCCCATAACAAAAAAGTCAAAATACTTGCAATTATTAGTTATGTAAATTTGAACAGAGAGAACCTGTCAATGCAGCATTGTAAAGAAAATCTATACTTACTACCTCCCTCAATATCTGATTTATTGCCTGTTCACTTTCTTTCAGTTCCCTCTCCCATCATTTCCCACTATCTCCACTGCGCCATAGTAAGCTCACAATCTCTTCTGTGCCCTCTGCTCTCCACTGCCCAGACCCCAGATTCGATAAAGCCTGATGAGTCATAGGGATACATGTGCAAGTGTGGTCTTTTCAGGCAATGATAAGAGAATATGGGGTCTGGACACAGAGATTCTCTTGGATGTTTCTCGATCTTATCTAGTCCTCTATGCAGATAGCCAACCACCTTGAACACAATTAATACTTAGCAGGAGAACTTCAAGTTCCTTTACATTAAATTTTAAAGAGTGAGAACTTTAAAAATTCTACATATTCCTGATGGCAGAGACATGGAATAGGCCACAGATGCCATATCTAAGCCAAGATGTCATAGCTCATTAGGACTGTCAGATTGAAGGAGGAAGTTAGGAAGTGGGTACAGGCAGTCAGTTAGGAACAGGGTGCCCCAAGCCCCAAGTCCATTTATCAGCCTGATTGAGAAACAATCACAGATCAGAGATCAGGAGGGTGCCTGCCCACCCCCGCCCCCCTCCCCCCGCCGCCCCAGTTTCTGAAAAGTAGGCTGGGTAACGCGGAAACCCTCAGTGGGCCTCGGTTGCCTAGGAGACCCCCATGGGCCCAGACAATCAGCCAAAGACACAACGTGGAGACATTCAACAGCCAAACCCACTAGTGTGTTAAGAATAAGAAAACCCCATGGATTTCTACCTTCTTAACACACCTTCTCCCACTCCTGTACCCACTATATCCACATAAGTACCTACTTCTTGCTACCTCAGTCAGCTACCCATTCAGGACCCCTCTCTGCTCAGACAGCTTTACTGTCCTTATTCCTATCTATCAATAAACCTCTTGCTTTTCTGTAACTTTGGTCTCGATATTGAATTCTGAAGACAAAAAGCAAGAAAGATCCCACCTGGGGTCTGCAGACTCCAGGCCTGCACCACCAAACCTCTATTCATCATACCATTATATAGTTTGGGTACTGCACACAAAGTTTCCCTGATATAGGCATCTGCTGGTTAAGCTGTGAGTTCCCACCCCCTCCCTGCCCAGTCTGACCAGTGTGTGGCAGTCATGTTCCTACAGAAATGACCTTGGCCACATTCTTAGTTCATAAAATTTTCTCGCCTTCAAATAATCTACATGCTAAAACTCAATTTTTTTAGTCCAGCAGATAAAGTGCTTCATATCCATCCTTGCCTAGTTCTTTGCCTTTTTCATCTCCTGTGATAAACTTCTCCCTCTCCCCTCCAAACACCTTTTCTGGATACCATCCCTCAATCTGAACACCTTTCCTCACCTTCTCACCTGGTAACCCCTGCTCATGCTGCCAGGACCGCCTCTGGTATCATTTCCAAACTAGAAACTATCATGTCCTCTTCAGTCTTTGAATTCTCTAGTCCTTTGCCCTGGATTGTTTAGACCCCAAAATGTTGTGAGCTCATAGTAGATGCATAAGAAATATCCCTTGGGGAAAAAAGAAAAGAAGTAGAAATATTTCTTGAGTAAATGCATGATCATTTGCTATGATGTGTGGTGATTGTCCAAATGTCTTGTGGGTTTTCAAAGGGTGAGATGAAGGAAGATTATATCTTTTATAACTGTATCCTCAGATCCTATTACAGTGACTCACATGGAAGATTGAAGTCAGAGTTTGACAAGTGAATGAAATTCTAATATATCTTTTGCAAACATGATTTTTTTCCCTTTTCATTTTTTCCCTTTTTATTTAGAAAATATATTTATATAAAAGGACTTTTCCCCCTTATATGGATGTTCCCTGTTTCCTTCTCTGTTAATACTGAGTTAGAAGAGAGGGAAGAGAACAGGTGTCTTTTGTTATCTTATTTCTCCAGAATAGAGTTGGGAATACAAAAAGCAGGGAAGAGAGGAAGCCTCCTGTCTTTTGTTAGGGGCCCTGGAATCAGAAGCTGAGATGTGAGTCTTGTGCAAATGCTCACTAAAAAATCTTGTAAGGGGCCTCCCTGGTGGTGCAAGGGGTTAAGCACAGCACTATGAAGCTCTCCACAGCCTCTGCAGCACGAAGTTGATCCCCTGCCTGCCAGGGGGCAACACACATGGCACAACAGACTTCTCCTGACTCGCCCACTGCTCCCCTCAACAGCGTAATTCAGTAGATCTGACTGTTCTGCTCCCCACACTGTCTCTGGTGAATCCTCTCACCCTCCCCCCGCACCTCTGAACTGTACCCCAGTTCTTGTGTACATAAATAAATAAATCTTTAAAAAAAAAACAAAAAGTTAAGACTGGATCTGTTGAAATAAAATTCTTACAAGGGCCTGAAAAAAAGTGACGCAGGGCATGAGAGAAGCAAAGTAAGGTTGTGGGTTCAGTCACAGTCCAGCCTCACCCTAATCACATGGGGAGTTCTGGCACAAGAGTGGTCTCACAGAATGTTCCACTTTGAGGCAAAGGGTTTTTGTACACTGTATCAATAGTTAGCTGAAAGCCGTACTCAGAGCTTGGGGGACCACAACTCTGGCATTTCTGAGTGTTGCACATCCTGTAGTCAAGAATGAGTCCTCACTGAAAGGTACAGTTACAAGTCACTAGTCACCAATGCTTCCACCAGCTAAGTGCCAACAGAATGGTCTGGTCAAAGGGTCTGAGCAGCACAAAAAAAGCCCCTTCCTCATCCCTAAAAGTAAAGATGATAGAAAGTGTTTACACCAAGAAGAATTACTTAAGCCTTTATTTAAAACCTATCTTTTCCTGCTTGAACAACAAGTCTAGCCAATATGGTTATTTGAACTATTCCTCACTCCTTAATAAATTAGAAACAGCAAAATACTTTTAAAAGGTAAGTGCACCGAAAGAAGCAAGAAATAATTAGGAAATCAAAAATAGTACAGCAGGGCCTCCCCGGTGGGTGGCGCAGCGGTTGAGCGCTGGGCTGCGAAGCGGTTCGATTCCCGGCTGCTGGTGAGGGTCCCACAAGGTGCGCAGACCCCTCCTGCTGCACCCGCTGCTCCCCTCAGCAGTGTTTTCAGTCCATCTGCCTGTTCTGATCCCTGCTCTGGCTCTGGTGAATTCTCTCACCCTCCCGCGCTTCTGACTGTACCCAGTGCTTATATAAATAAAGAAATCTTTAAAAAAAAAAAAAAAGAAATAGCACAGCAATCTGGAATCTTGCAATGGAGAGTTTAAAGGATAATAAATCAAAGTCTAAAAGGTTTGAGATTTTACAATGATGTCCTAAGTCAACAAGGAAAGGTTAAATAAGTTATGTTTGACAGTCTATGTTTAAGAACATAGGAAGACGTGCAATGTAATTTGAAAGATTCCATACAAAATTTGAAAGCTTAAGGTATATGAACAATTACATAAACATTTTATGTTTACAGGATGCCCCCCTTTCTTGCCAACCTTGGATAAGTAAGGTGTTACTGAACTACACCCTGGAGAACATCGGCCCCCAGAAGCCTGTTGAAATTTCTCAGACAGTAGCCTAATGCTTGACTTGTTTAAGTGTTCTAACAATTCTGACTCTAACACAAGTAATTAAATAACTAGAGATTGACTGATAAAACCTCCAGTCACCATGTATACACAATGTCTGGTACAGACAGAGCTCTAGCCTGGCATCAGACATTAGAAGTGCAAATTCCTCCACTGTCACTAAGATGACTGTTAAGCTAGTCATTTATCTCCTCTGAGTCTTGGTGTCTTCATCTCTAAGGGGAAAATATTCATCTATCACATTATTATTAATGTTTATGATGTTACATACTAAACCAACATAACATAGTATATGTAATATATTTTGCCATTTAGAATACTAACAATAATATTATTGTGTATCATTAGCCTGCTGTGAGGATCAAATGAGAATTTTGCGTTGTAAGAGACAAAAAAACAAACAAAATTAAAATGGAATATTTGGATAAGTAACCATTCTTTCATACCTCCTTTCTGATTAAACTTTTGACAGTTTTCTAAATCCATAAAACTAGTGAGATACACTTGGATGCTATATTCCATAGATTTATTCTGACCTGGCTCACTATCTACCCTCCCAGTGGCCCACCTGTACCCCCATTTCTCGCTATTATTTCAGAATGACTGCCTTTGGAGATGGGGTTTCTCAGGAAGGACATTGCACAATCAGAAAATGTTGATCTGCCAAGGCTGTAACATTTTTTTCCTGGAGCCCTGTCAGGAATGTGTCACAGGAGGTGGGGGAGATGGACCATGGAACAGAGAATACTAGGCCCCAGCAACCAGGTAATAAAGTGCCCCAGCATTCCTTTTCAAAATCTAATGAAGGTATCAATCTTCATCAAGTCAAAAGGTCTGGGTGCACTGCCATGAGATTTATTTAACTGCTTCAAAAGACTGGAGAAACAATGGCTGAAATGCAGGCCATCGAACAAGAAGCAGTGAACTCTAGAACTTGATGATGTCTATTTTCAACAAGAGTTGAATTTGCCAATAGCTATTATTCCTAAACAGGAGCTTCAAGTTCAGCATTGTGGCAGAGCCAACTTGTACGAACTCAGGAGAGCTGATTGTTCATGGTTCTCCTAACACCATACTCGGTGACGTCATGATGGTTGCTTATAATTGGCCATGGTGGAAGTATTTACACCATGAAGATCAGCAGTTACCGCAAATAGGATCCCCGCCCTCCCAGAGAGCCAGTTACCAGCACACCATTGCTTAAGTTTGTATCCAAACGTCAACAAGAAGTACGGAATCCTGAAATAGCTTTCAGAACAGCAGTGTTGTTTTTGAATTTCCCTGTGAGCCACCGGGGGAAAAAAGGTTATGTGTTTATTAATATCAGAAATCCTTTGCTTTTGTGTTCCAAATTCACCTTCCTCACAGAGCTTCTCTTTTCCTTTAGGTTTAATATGGAGAGTGGCTACTAAACTGAGAAAAATTTGAATCACTGTGAAATCCTTGGTTGTCAACTTGATTGTTTTTACCATGAGTATTTCCCAGGCTCTACCTTCCACCAGTACAGAGCATCCCTACAGAAAGCAATTTTCCTGCAAAGAGCAAACACCTTCAGAGCTCAGAGTAGCCGATAGAAAAGTAGCATCAAGATGTTGCTCTCCACTTGAAGGAAATTTTGCAAAACAAATTGGATTCAGCTGAAATTGGCCAACCTTAGGAGAAGAACATAATTTCTTCTTTCCTTCAGTACCAAACTGTAGGATTAACAAAGAATAAAGGGGAATAAAAATGCAAAAATGCACAATCTCCATTTCCGCAGACCTTACTTTTACTAATGTCTTTGTGGCTCTCATCAGTGATTTTCACCACTCTTTCCCATAGCTTGCCTAGAGGCTGAAAGGAAAAGAAGTAGGGAAGAAAATTAGTATTATTAGAGCACAAATTACGTATAACGTTACTAGAATGTCTTATTTAATTGCCATGGCAACCGTGTAATACCGTACTATTATTTTCATTTTTCTCAGAGAAGAAAAGGTAAGTATTTTGTAAGGTTATCCAAGCAATGGTTTTGGAGCTGGGTTTTGAATACAGGTCTTTTTGACTCTTTGATTTTGTATCCATTCTACTCTTTTGACTACTTTATTGATCATGGAAAAACAAAGCCCAATTGTGAATCCAATTCAGAGATGACATGAGCATAGAACTTGGAATTTCCTAATGATGGTTTTGAGACCAACACCAAGACTTTGTTGGCATGATCATTAAGCTGTAAAATAGGAGAAAAACATAGAAATCAGTGGCAAATACTGGACAAGACTTTTAAGAATGTATTTGTTTGCTGGTATATACCCAACAAATTTTCTTGTCATTTCAGGTTTCAGAAACATAGATATCATTCATGCTTATCTTTTACTTTCATAGAGTTTATCAACTCAGGAAAACTCAGTCAGGTTAGCCAAGTTTTTTTAATATGTATTTTGGATAAAATGGCAAAGAAACTACAGGGGGGAGAGAAGGGAGTAGGATCAAAACAAGGGTGGTGGGATTTGTATGGGGACTGTAACCAAGATGAAAATACATATATTGTGCAAAAATGAAAAATGATGTAAGAAATATATAAAACAAAAAAAGAAAAAGAAATATTGCTTTGATTTCTGCACACTATTCTTTTACATTCCTTGGAAACAGTCATTTGTTTTATTTTTGAATTTTCTTTTTGTCTGAGCAATAACATCATTTAATAGGCTCTTCAAATGTGTATCATAAATATTAGCTATTCAAGGCTTAAATAATGGAAAAAATTCAAATGCATAATTATATAAATATTGCATATTATTTTAATTTTTAATGTGCACACTTTAACAAGAAACAATACCTTTAGGAATCTAATGTTGGCACTCAAATATTTTTAATGACCATAAAAATTTTTATGTAAAATTTTACATAAAATATTTTGTACATTCTTATTGTGAAATCGTAAAGTCTAAAAGGAGAGAGAGAGAGATTGTTCATGTGTGTTACATTTTTGGCACACTACTCTGTGAACTTCAAGAAGAAATATACATGACTGAAAATGTAGGTCTGGAACTCAAGAGAAAGGGTTGAACTGTAAGTACAGATTTGAAATTCATTAACATACCAATGATAATCAGAGTCATAAAAATGTAAAAGAACAGAACATGAAAATGTAAAGGATCCAATAAAAGTACATAGATTGAGAAGATGATAGATGTAGAACTGAGCCCAGAAAACTCTCCCACATATAATGATTATTCAGATTATTATTCAGGATTATCCAGATCTAGAGCCAACCAAATATTCCATCTTCTCTGAACCTACTCCATTGTGATTCTGCCTTCATCTATCTCCTACGTAAGTTCTGAGTCAGAAAAGAGACTTTATTAACATTTCAGATCAACACAAATAAAAAGTTGCAGCTTGGAAGAACTGACATTTTTTTTAAAAATGTGAGAGAACCTATACTTCAGGTTAGTATGTAGAAGTGGTCAATAGAAAATGCAAAGATGGCCCACTATTAGAATAACCAGTCCAAAGCTAAGGCATTGAAACGATTATTATATATGTATGTTAAGTAATTTATAGAAAAATAAGGGCATAGTAAGTTAAGAAATGGAGTATTTCAGGAGAATAATTCAAACACTGAAAAATAAAATGGCAAATACAAAACTAAAAGAAATAGGGACAGCAGTGAAGAAAAGAAATATCACAGTATCTGGAAGAAATGAAAAAAGATGACACTGAATGCTGGTGAGAACATAGAGGTGGGTTGGCAAACTGCTAACAGCAGACCAAAGTCAGTTCACCACCTGTTTTTTTTTTATATTAATCTTTTTTGGAACACAATCACTGATGTTTATAAATGGTCTACTGCTGCTCTTATACTACAAAAGGAGAGTTGAGTGGTTGAAACAGAAACCACGGTTTGCAAAGTCTGAAATATTGACTCTCTGGCCTCTAACAGAAAAATATTTACTAGCTCCCAATGTTAGTCAACTACAATTATCATTCATTTATTGAGGGAGTGTACACTGATACATTCACTTTGAAAATAATTTGCCAATATCTTTTAAAGTTAAACATATGCCTGTCTTTGACCAAAGAATTCTCCTCCTAAGTATTTACTTAGAAGAAATGAAAACGGGTTCATAAAAGATTTGTACAAAAATATTCAGTGTTTTTATTTATATAGCCAAAACTGAACCTAATCTTGGTACTCAATAGGAAAATGAATAAACAGTGACATATTCATAAAATGGAATAGTACTCAGTAATATAAAAGAATGAACTACTGATACACACAATAAAATATTAATGGGGTGGGAATTGACAGTGATTGATTGAGCAGGGCATACAACAACTTCCTAGGCATAAAAGAAACTTCCTGATGGTAGAGAACTATATCCTGAAGGCTATTTGAGGTATGCAAGTTTATGAATTGTCAAAATCAGCAAATACTAAAGTTTTTTTGTATATTTTACATAAAAGGAAAAAGCTGCAAGCAAATCCTTCCCTCTACTAATATTATGCGAACTGATATCTGCTATTTTCTCTGCAATAGAATCAAAAAAGATGAATTAATAGTTGCAAAGAGGGATCAAAAGATGGATAGATACATGATAAAGCTAATATAGTTAAATGTCAATGGCAAATACTAGGTGGATGGTATACAGAGGTACTCACTATAAAATTCTCTCAACTGTGCTGTAGCTTGAAATTTTTCATACTGAAGTGCTAGAATTTTTATGTTTAAAGAAGCCAAAAATTTATTGAGAAGAGGAGATAGAGGCAGAGAGTGATATATAGGAGTTGTTCCCTCTTTTTTGTTGTGATTCTTGCTTTAGAAATAGAAGAAATGCTTCTGTAAATACTAGCTAAACAAAGATCCCAGTAGAATAGATTTTTGCAGGATATCTATATTAAGTATTTTCAAATCCTTCCAGAATAGGTCGGAAATGTCCAGGTTCCTGAAGATGTAGGAGATTTCCTTGCATGATTTTGCCATGGCCTGTTCATGGTTAGTGATCTGTTTGGGATTGAGCTAGAGATCCCCAAATAAAGTAAGCATTTACTTCCAAAATCACTCAGACTGAGAGTTCTGTCAGAAGGATAAGGTTGACAAGTGAATATCTTTAAGGATTTACAAGATATAGTTGCTAGATAATTTCCAAAAAAAGAAAAAAGGGAAAATCCTCTGTATTATCACTCCCATGAAGGCAGAAATATGTCACAATTTCATCCCCAGCACTTAATACAGTATCTAGCACTAGGTAAAGCCATGCTGCACATTTATTGAATACGCAAATGATTGAAAGATGAACCCTTCTGTCAGAAATCTTGGGACAACTTTCAAAATAAATGGTCCACACATTGTATCTGTACCCTCTCTACTCATCACTAAAGGAGCAACTTTCTAGCAAAGTCTTGATTAAATATGGACTTTTATGTCTTTGTCTAAATAGTTAATATGTTTTCCCAGTAAGGGAAAAAAAAAACAAACATTTCTACTAATACTATCCACTGCTCATGCTACTATCATTTATTGAGCAAGAGCTATAAGTCTAGAGGCTATGTTAAGTAACTTCTTTTGTCAATCCTTGCGCTGATCCTGAAAGGTAAGAAAGAGATGAGAAAGCTAGCTAGGATTAATAATTTACCAAAGGATATACTTCTAGTAAGACCAGAGCATTCAAATACAAGTTGCCTAACTCCAAAGCTTATTTACAACACTTAGCTCTCGTGCTCTATGCACTATAACACATAACTAAATGTAGAAAGGCTAGCAACTAGTTAGCTTGCTTTTCCCCATGTGCATATATGGAGAATCCACTCTTGGCAAACACCTTCTATACACCAAGGAGTGTGTGTAGAAAATGCCTAAACAATTAAAAGGAGGAAGGAAGCACATCCTCCCTGGCCTTTCGCCTCTCCCTTCCTCCCCCTCTAGTAAATACAAGCCTGTCCAAACCAGAAAGCGCTTCCTACCTCTAGTAGAAGTGATTGCCCCAGTATTATTATTCTCCACCCAGCATAGCTTTTAAGTTTGTTTTTGTTTTTTAATATCTGTTTTTGTAAGAAGACTGCTCCTTGGGTTTGTTGTTTCTCCATGCCCTTAATGGACACTCCAGAAACCTGGTCCACTCCCCACTGGACATCTATTTGAACCCTGGATATGTTTAAGTGTTCCTGTTTTGGTCACAAGCCTCCGTAAACAATAGTATGAGAATCACAGTTGTACAGGGACATGAGGAGAAGCCCAGGGCAGAAGCTCATTCTGCAGACAATCAAGAGGTATCTAAAATATCTTCAGTATAATCCACCACTCCCCATCACTATCCCTCCATGCTTCATTACTCTCTCTTCTAGCTAAAAAGGAAGGCTGAAAACCTTTGCTGAGCTAGACCTTTGCTGAGAAATGAATATCTACCTACCTGTAGACTTCAGTTAGGACAAATGACTTCTAGAACACAGCCAAAATGACAAGTTGTTGCAAGTACCTTTCATTTCACATGGATTTAATATAAATCCTGAATATTTTAAATTCCTGAAAATACATGTCATACTATTAAATATGAAAATTGGTCAAAAAATAAAATTCCATGTTTTCTGCTTTATATAAAATATGTGACAATCCAGAATAGTGCATATGAGACTTATAAGAATAGACAAAATAATAATTATAAAGTTAATATCCAAATTCCATAAGAGATTTACTTCTGAGATTAACTAATTTAAGAAATTGAATATAGCCACTCTCCCAAAAGTCCCTTACATAACT